TCAAAATTATATTCTTGGGTCCAAATGTTAACGATCCTTCATAAACTTTTTCATCTTAAATTTTTTATTCTTAAACTCGCACTTAATTAGTTTAGAACTCAATTATTGCTATAACATTTCTTATGCCATAATCAAAAGCAAACAAACACCGAGCCATCCCAATGTTACCCCGACTAAAATGTAAAACTCATTTAAATCAAAAATTTAAGATTTCCTAATACTATTTTCTCGTGAACTTTTGTTTTTTTTTTTTCTTCTTCTTTTTTTCCCCTCATCCAGTTTTCCAAACACTAGCATTTAATCTCATGTAAGTGCTAATGCAACTAGTGGATTCTAAGGTGACTTGAGTTCTAATGACTTTTTTGTTAATAGTAATGACTTTTTTTTATTAATTGTAAAATAATGGCAAACTTGTTATCTGCTATAGTTGGTTACTCTAAATAAATAAATAATATCACGTAAATTACTCCAATATTTAGTAAATACGAGCCAAATATTGTTAAAAAAATATTATTTTTTATTAAATTACCGAGAATGAGAGTCTTTTTAGGTTGATGCACCAATATTTACTAACATTTTGCTGATTTGGATGGCTTTAAGTAACAAAAGATTTACCGAATAGAGGGTATAATTTACTTAGCATTGATATTTTTTTCCTCAATGTTGGCAAAAAATGTGAATGTTTTGTGAATTTTTCTTTTTTATTTAATGAGATATGAAAGGTTTTTTGTGATGTTAACTAATTAAGTACCAACTTTTGTGTTTCTCACATTATACACAAGCTAAATTTTTGGAGCGGAAAAAAAAAACGAACCTCAAAAATTTATGATTTCTTCATATACCTAGATAAATATGAGGCGGTTAGTAAAGCTGCTCGACTCCTAAAGTTTTAGTAGTACATACTTTTCTTTTCTTTTTTATTATTTATTTTTAGTTCTGAAATGTCAAAAAAACTCTTCGTTATCTCGCCCTCTCTTACTTTTGCGTTTCGTATTTAGGTTTATTCTTCTTTTCCTTTTCAATTCAATTATTTTAGGAGAAATTGCATCCCAATTATAATTGTTTAGGTTTCTTCTTCTTACACTACCAAAAATTTTAGGTTTATTGATGGAAAATTTTGTCGCTATACCCGGATTTTTCGTCACTTGTTTTGTTTTAGCAATGGAATTGCAATGAAATAAAACGAGTCGCTAAAAGGCTTGTCGTTATTTTTTAAATGGTGAGCTTTTGCTATCATTTTGAAGTATTTTCCTCGCTAATTTGATGCAAACAATTGTCTAGTAAGTCTAAAATATGTCGCAAAACCATCGGCAAGTAGTTTTATTTCCATCGCTATGTATAAAGATGGCAATCCATCATAGAATTTACTCGCTAACGATTATCGCAAATTCGTAGTTGATTTCTATCGTTATTGCCAATGGATTTTCTTTTCGTCACTAATGAAATATTTTATTTTATTTTTCTATCATTAGTCGATTGTTGATCCGTCACTAAATAAATGAAAATTATTTTTTAGAAAAATTTCATTACTAGTCGTTTAATGTTAATTATGGTAACAAAAAACTAAAAATAAAATTATAACATGAAATATTATTAAAAATCTAAAAAAAAAAGGTATTCCTCATCATTATCATTTTTTGAATGCCGAGTATTGGGAGGAAAAACCGACTATTAGGTAAGAGGAAGGCTAGGAAGAGGGACGCGAGTTTGCATGTTCCGTAACAAGCTGCTAAATAATCGACATCTCCTATTAGAGAACCTAGTATTCTGCTTTGTGTTTCTCGTACACCTCCTAAATCCGCCGAGCACGGTCATGCTTTATACCATCCAGTAGCTGCTATTAGTACTATTCATTATCTTGTGACATACAATCATGAAACTCGTGATGTGGTAGAGGATGAGTCGACACCGGAATAAGAGTAATATTGGGACGTTTGTGATCCAAGATCGTACACTTTATGCTTTTTCTTCTCTCATATAGTCTTGAGATATATCCGGGTCATGTCAACATCCGGTGATGATGAATCACCCTCTAGCTGCTAGCTAGAAGTCGACTTATACAATGATTCCACATACTCCTACATAATTCAAAAAATTATAATATTAAATCATAAATTTAAATTTTAGATTAAATTGGCACATTTATAATTAAAAAAGTAAAAAACTTACCCTAATTTTCTAAGAACGCGTATCAATGAATGATCCATCCTAACACATATTAGTCTTCACAAACAACTCGTAAGGATTTGGGTTACCACCCAAACTCATAAGCTCGAAAAAAATAGAGATAAATAATATGATATAAAAATAACTATAAATATTAATTTATAACACGAGTGAATAATAGGATTTACCATTCATCTAGTGTGTTTAATTTGTAAGATGGAACCATCATTATGTCTAAATAGGCCAACATCGGTACCATCCATCTTGCTCGTGTGATTCCGGATCGCCTACTCGTAACGGGGTCCAAAACTCGAGTGTGGCCCAATTTCACCGTGATCCATCTCACACCTACTCGGAACAAATGGGGATTTATTGGTCTACTTCTTGCAACTGGTTAGCATGTTGGCATACTGCTTGTGTACCGGATGCTACTACCACATCTTAACCGACATGTCAATGACTTCCTTCCATAAAAAAGTACTTATACAAGAAGAAGAAAAATTAATATTAGTACATTTCAAGTTAGATTTACTAAAATAATTTAAATGTAATATAAATAAATAATTAACATGTTATAAATTAGTCATAACATATTATTATAGGGTTATGCTAGCACCTTATAATTATATTTAATTCTTTATTCCGATGGCTTCTAAAATAGCATAACAAAATCTAGTATTAGGAAAATTCTTTTCATGTAAAGGACAATATTTGCTCTTAGTAGTATAATTAAAATGATTAAACGTGTCCATTAAAAATAGTTAAGGGTTCTTGATCGATATATCCATTAACATATTTTATCGGATGATAAAAGGCTATATGTATATATAAGAGGGTAACTTTAGATGCCAATTTGCTACATGAATTAAAAGTCTAATTATTAAATAAAGTTTAGCTATACAAATTACAATCTACCTATCTCAACACAATACAACCATGACCATTAAATATCTTTAAAAACCCATAAATTAAGCTAATAAAACAATTTCCATCAATAATTAAAAAATTACTTAATCAATATAACTAAACGAGATAAATTTAATTTATTTAACAAATAATCAACAATTCATTCAAACAAACCAAAATTAAATAGTAATATAGCTTAATTTCAATCAAGTTCTAAAAACCCATTATCAAATCATTATCCAACAATAACAATAGCAATCTCTTGTCATTATAGCCATACAAATCATAATCTAAACTCTAAACCAATCTAAAAATCACCTTTTAAAAAAACCCCCAAATTAAATAAAAAAACAAACCGGACGACGGATTGTCCAATTCATCTTCGAATCGAGAAGGGGAGAAAACCGAGTACTAGAAATAGAACCATGTAGAGGAGAAAACCCAAGAAACTTCTACAAATTAGTATGAATACTAATCAAATACAAGAAATACCTACTTTAATATATTGAAGGTTTTTCTTTTTATGGAGAGAGAGCGAAAGAGACAGAGAGAGATGGTGGAGGTGAACACAACTATTTTGCTAGATAAGATGGTTGGAGTGGTTGAGGAATGCTAGAGAGTGGAAGAGAAGGTTTATAAGGTGGTTTAGGGGCTATTGCAGCTTGTGGCATAGCTTGGAGGAGGTCTGCGATGAGAGGTGAGTGGGAGAAGGGAGAAAAAGTGAGAAAGAAATGGAATTTTATAAATTTAAAAATTTAACTTTAGCGACGGATGCGACTCCATCGCTACTTCGTCGTAAATCGATGAAGGTGGCAATCTCCTAGCAATATATATATATATAAAGGTGTGTGCTTTCCCATAATCGAGACAATAGATTGGGCATGTAGATCATTATTGATGACAATCATTACCTTTCTATAGAATATAAGAGATGTAACTCCTCATCATAATAGAGAAATCTCACATGTAAATGATTAGTCTACTCTTTTAAAATAAAACCGATCTCAAAATGCTAGGAACTAATAGACATGTTACTAGTTAACTCAAGCAAAGCAAAGCCGACAAAATAAGCGGCAATAGTTCTCTCCAACAAGAAAAGACATTTCTCCAAGGATCCAAGTTAGCACTTTTAGTCTATGCCAAGTACACTTGCCAATACTCAAAGTACCAATCTCGGATAAGAAAGAATCCATCACCACCCTCTACGTCAGCAAAGAAGATAAAACATTTAATGATAATATTCTTCCAAGATTGCCCTAGTCTAATTAACTCTCATGGTAGAATGATGTCGTCAAAAGTAAATCACATCATACATGCATACCACCCAAAATTGTCACCTAAAAATATCAATATTAGAGGAATGGATGATTCTACCCTTCTCACTAATGTAATTTGTTAAAATCTCATCTATATAAGAGTCCTAACCATCAAAAGTTTTTGATTTTCAACTCTTTCTACACCTCTAAAATACATCATGATCATCTTCTTTGTTGCTCACGCACATAAAACATTTTATAAAAACCTATTCGGACTATTTATCCTATCTCCGATTACTAACTAGATCATAGAGGATCCCTTAACCAATTAGGGAGATTTGTTTTGTAATTACACGAGTATAAAAAAAGATAAGACATTCTACCTATCTCGTTTGTTCACATTCGGTTATAACAAGTTACATTACTTTCATTTTAATAAACAAATTTTCTTGGACTCATCAATTATTGGATTATAAAAACCATAAAGAGAATTGAAAATTGCAGTTTTTTTTTTTAAATGTTCGTTCGTACTAGCAATCGTGAGTTTTAAAATGTTTTTCGGTAGCTATTTACCAAAGTAAAGCAAAAGTGCCCTTAGCCTGCAACAAATATAGCAATTCATAAATTTACTAGCTAGCTACTGAGCTATTCCATTCTCCAAATGTCATGCAGATGACTATAATAAATTTCACAAACGAGACCAGCATTGCTCCAGACCACCGGTCATACCAGCACCAACCAGATGACTACTTGCTTAAGTTAACACAACACAATCAAGAGACAAGTCGTTTAAATGCTAACGATCACAAATGTAGACGGCTGTTCGTTTTTCTTCTACTTCAGATGACTTGTCGTCTCATGCTTAATTTAGACAAAATAATAGCAATGATGAATATGCCCTTTCTTATTGCTCCCCTGAATCATGGCTTCTATTTCAAGCCCCGGTGAGAAAGAAATGCAAAACCCTTCAAAACCCTGATCCCAATCCCACAATCTCTACCGTTTCCACATGATTTTAAGGTAAAGTTCCAAACTTTATTTTCTTTATTATGATTTTGAAACCTCATTTTGTTTAATTAACCTTAATTGTTATTGTTTGATTAGGAGGTGATTATAATAATAATTATTATTAAGATAATGACACAACCATCAGTGATACTTGCCACTGCTAGTTATGATCACACTATCAGATTTTGGGAGGCAAAAAGTGGCCGCTGTTACCGTACTATTCAATACCCAGATTCTGTAATCACTATATTCTTCTCTTTTTATTATTAAGTTTGAATCTTTATCGCAAAATAATAGTAGGTTTATTGTAGATTTTCTAGCTTTTGTGTTTTTTTCCCTCGTGGCTAGTAAATTTGCTAATAAATTGGTTTTTATTTATACGGTGCATGAAGCAAGTTAATAGGCTTGAGATAACCCCTGATAAAAGATACTTGGCTGCGGCCGGGAATCCACACATTAAGTTGTTTGATGTCAACGCAAATAGCCCTCATCCGGTATGAAGTCGAGCCTTTTCTGATAATTTTTTTTTCCTTGAAATATGCTCTTTTTAAAAAAAAAAAAAAAAAATGGTGTTGTGTTACATTGGCAGGTAATGAGCTATGACTCACATACGGCGAATGTTATGGCAGTGGGGTTTCAGTGTGATGGAAACTGGATGTACTCAGGGTCTGAAGATGGAACAGTGAAGATTTGGGATTTGAGGTAGATCCTGATTGGATGCTAGCATGCTAGCGTGCTGTGTTTTAAAAATGAAATCTTATTTGAAGTTCAACCGCAGGGCTCCTGGTTGTCAAAGGGAATATGAAAGTCGTGCAGCTGTCAACACTGTGGTGTTGCACCCAAATCAGGTTAGCTGTTGTCTGTGACTTTTAGTCTATAGAAAGGATAACTTGTTGAGAAGTGAAAGGGATGTTGGAATTATGGGGTTTTCAATGGGGATCATGATATTAGCTTTGTAATTAACGAGTTTTTTTTCTCCTTAATTATGAGATACCATGTGCCAGCCTGCTCTCCCTGTGGTCGGAAGAGTTGCCTTGGAAAATTGATAAATTATGTAAATACTAACAGATTTGGCAGCCAACTTTCTTGTTTCTAAAAGGCAAGCATTAAGATAATACAGGACCAAAGACTTTTGGCATGGATGTTTAGAAGAGAAACTGTCTGATATGATGTGATGAGTTTTTGTGTACTTGAGTATATTGTTCAAATTTTGAGTTTAAAATAATAATTGGCACTATTCTGCAATATTCTCAACATGTACCTAGCGTCTTTCCATCATTTAACCATCTGGTAGATAACATGAAAAAATGTTGACTAAAATCATAGCCTACTATTATTCCTGTGTGATCTGTACATCTTTCATGCTTTTGCATAATATTTATCTTAGAATGTTCTGTGCTAGTTGCTTTCCTTCTAAGTGCCACTTTCTCCTGAAGCATCTGATTTCATGTTAGTATGTTTTTGCTGGTTGGTCTAATCTATTGTTGTTTCTGTGGTTTTGCAGACAGAACTGATATCTGGAGACCAAAATGGGAACATTCGAGTATGGGATTTGACAGCAAATTCGTGCAGTTGTGAATTGGTATTCTCTTATGACTTTCATTATCTTATTGAGCCAAATTTACAAGTGTAGGAACATTCACAGAAGTTATGATTTCCTGTTATTTGTGAGATGTTTCACAAAACTCATGTGTTTGCTTATTATACAACATGATGAGCAAGTTTTTGGAAGCAAGGAGACTTTGTAATGCTTTTGCATCTATACTAGAATCATGCATCTAAAGGTTTTCCTCCAGCCTGGGAGTGGATGGGGCCACTAGCAAAAGCCAAATAGGCATATGGCTGCTCCCTCCTTCCAGTAATGTCTTTGAATTTTTTGCTGCTGGGTGCATCCTGGATCATTGTTACTTAATGACTTGTTAATAAAAATGAGTTGTGTTTGACGATGATCATAATGCTCTACAGTGCGTTTCTAGGTACCAGAGGTGGATGCAGCTGTAAGGTCTCTAACAGTTATGTGGGATGGAAGCTTGGTAGTTGCTGCAAATAATAACGGAACATGTTATGTCTGGCGCTTGTTGCGAGGGAACCAGGTAGCTCCTTGATGAATTCAACCATCTGACATTACCTTGTTGCCTAATTTGATTGCACAAAATGTATTTTCTTGCAGACAATGACCAACTTTGAGCCACTTCATAAGCTACAAGCACATGATGGATACATTCTCAAATGTCTTCTCTCACCTGAATTTTGTGATCCACACAGGTTTCTATTTTCTTACTTAATCCCATCATCCTTCTGTTTGCCCTTGATATACTTTGTGCCGTTTTCTTTGGGTATCTTCTGCCTCTACTTACCTAGATGGAATTTTAGATTAATTGTTGCCAATGTTTTGCCTGTTAGATATCTGGCCACTGCATCATCCGATCACACTGTAAAGATATGGAATGTTGATGGTTTTACATTAGAGAAAACCTTGATAGGTATTCATCATTGCAAAATTCTTCTTTGGTGCTCTTTTTTGTCAGATATTATACGAGAAAAGTAATAACCATCTCAAAAAGAAACTCTTTGTTGTTATGATTCATTTGATATCCAGGTCATCAACGCTGGGTGTGGGACTGTGTTTTTTCTGTAGATGGTGCATACCTTATAACAGGTACTTGGTTCAGTTGTCAAGATGCAATAAAATTTCATTTTTGGAATGGAGGCCGAGTAAGATGTGCAAGACCATTTCAACTTTTCTTGCTTGATGCATTTTGTAATACTTGTATTTTGTTCATTCAGCTTCTTCTGATACGACAGCTAGACTTTGGTCCATGTCATCCGGTGAAGACATCAGGGTGTATCAAGGGCATCACAAGGCGACTGTTTGTTGTGCACTCCATGATGGAGCAGAACCTTCTTCATGTTGAATTTGGACTAGAAGTTTTTGTTCGTTTTTTCCTTGTGAGGTTGGGGTTTGATCACTTGATGAATAGGGAAGGGGCATCAGGATGATGCTTGAGTAAAGCATACATTGCCTGGCAGGCATCAAAGTAATGGTTTATTACCCCACCCATTAATTTTCTTTGAAAAAATTAAGCTTTCCTCTCTGTAACGTATGTTTGGGATGATATTTTCTTACTATATGGTTCTCTTTTCATGCTACATAAAAGATTTATTTGACGACAATAATATTTTTGTATATACGTAATCGCTCGTTATCGCATGCCTTAATGGTGACTGAGGATCAAAATAAAATTTTTCTTCTCTCTCGTTACGTTGAGCAAAAAATGTCACAGACCGATCTGTACCCCAAAGCACAGCTCCAAGCAATGCTACTTGCATACAATTTATAAGAGTTAACAACTGCAGGGGTTTTGGTGCTCCCCCTTTATCGGGTGATTTTCTTTTTTAAGTTTGGTTTTTTGTCTTAATCTTATTTTTCCATTATTAATATTTCGGGTTTTTAATGTTAAATCAAATTTTTTTCTCTAGCTCAATCTTGTTCTTATTATCTTTTATTCTCTCTTAATCTCTCTCTCTCTCTCTCTCTCTCTCTCTCTCTCTCTCTCTCTCGACCGAATTTAAATAAATGAATTTTGAAAAAAAAATTGAAAAAAAAAGTAAATATATCTAGTTATTCTCTTTAAAAAATATGAAGAAAACTTTGAGTGTAAAATGAAATATTTATAGTGTTTTTTTTTTCAAATGTGAAGATAATTTTAGTTAAATTTTAAATTTTTTTAATAAATTTTAGTTAAATTAGAAGAACGTGACGGACCACGTCGACTTAGAGGGACGTGACAAACCACGTCGAGTTGGAAGGACATAACAAACCGTGTTGATTTTGAGAAATGTGATAGACAATGTTAACTTACGGGGACGTGATAGACCTTGTTGATTTGAAGGGACGTGATAGACTACGTTTATTTAGAAAGACGTGACATGCTATGTCGGTTAGAGGGACGTGACGGACTACATCGATTTGGAAGGACGTGACGGACAACATTGACTTGGAATGAGGTGATAGACCACGTCGACTTGGAGGGGCATGGTCCGTCACGTCCCTCCAAATCGACATGGTTTGTCACGTCCTTACAATTCGACATGGTTTGTCGCGTCCTTATAATTCAACTTGGTCTATCGCATCCCGTTAAATCGACGTGGTTTATCCCATCCCTTGTCAAATAGACATGGTCTATCACGTCTTTTAAAATCGACGTGGCCGTCATATGCTTCAAAATCGACATGGTTCGCCACGTCCTTTCAAATCGATATGGCTAGTCACATTCTATCAAAACAAACGTGGCCGATCAAGTCCTTTCAAATTGACATGGCCGATCACGTCTTTTTAAAATCGACGTGACAAGATACATCCTTTCAAAACTAACATGGTTAGTCACATCCTACAAAAATTAATATGGCCGATCACATCCTTCTAAATCGACGTGGCCAGTCAAGTCCTGTCAAATCGTCGTGGTTGGTCACGTTTGTCCAAATTAACGTGGCCGATCACCTGCCATCCAAGTCGACGCCGTTATTCGCGTCCTTTCGAAATTTACTTTTGTTGTCTTGACTAGCCGACTATGCAAAGCCAAAAAAAGCGTTTTTCAATGATTTTACATTGTAACCATTGTAAAAGAAGAGACAACTATTTACACCCAATTTTGAGTATAAAATGAAACATTTATAGTGTTTTTTTTTTCAAATGTGAAGATAATTTTACTTAAATTTTAAAATTTTTTAATAAATTTTAGTTAAATTAGAAGGATGTGACGGACCACATCAACTTAGAGGGACGTTACAAACCGTGTTGATTTTGAGGAATGTGATAGACCATGTTAACTTACAAGGACATGACGGACCTCGTTGATTTAAAAGGATGGGACGGACTAAGTTGATCTAGAAAGACGTGACATGCCATGTCGGTGGGATGGACGTGATAGATAATGTTGACTTGGAGGGAGGTGATAGACCATGTCGACTTGGAAGGGCGTGGTCCGTCACGTCCCTCCAAGTTAATTTGGTCTATCACGTCCCTCTAAATCAACATGATTTGTCACGTCTTTACAATTCGACATGGTTTGTCGTGTCTTTATAAGTCGACGTGGTTTATCACATTCCGTTAAATCGACATGGTCTATCTCATCCCTCGTCAAATAGACATGGTCCGTCACATCCTTTCAAATCGATGTGGTCGTCATGTGCTTCCAAATCGATATGGTCCACAATGTCCATTAAAATCAACGTGGCTAGTAACGTCCCGTCAAAAAAGACATGGCCAGTCATATCCTTCTAAATTAACATGGTCGATCACGTCTTTTCAAAATCGACGTAACTAGATACGTCCTTTCAAAACCGACATGGTTAGTCACATCCTATCAAAATTAAATCACTTTTTATTAATAGCTATGACAAATAATAATTTTTTGTTGTTTTTTATATGAATCCAAAAATAATTAAAACTAAGGGAAAATGAAAAAAAAAAAAGAATTTGACACTAACTAAATCACTTTTTATTAATACATAGGCCTAACAGAGTGGCTATAAAAATAAATAAACTAAAATCGAATCCTACACTCACTTAATCACAATCATCAACTAATTTTCATTATTTTTTTAATTTGATTCCAATTTGGATAAGAAATTTGGTCGGATCAATTGCATACATAGGATGAGTAAATTATAAATTAGTCCCTCTCCTTTCAAAAAATGAATTAATTAATCTTTCTAGTTTTAAAACTTATTATTCAGTTCTTTTATCCAATTTTGATCACGACTAATTTAATATTTTTTATTTTATAATATATATTCGAGTTATTTGATTTACACCAACCAGATTTCGCGGGGTCTCGGTGTATGAAACCGTGTTGATTTTAAAATCGTATTGATTTTAAGGAATGTGATAGACCATGTTAACTTACAAGGATGTGATAAACCACGTTAATTTAGAAAGACGTGACATGCCATGTCACTTGGAGGGACGTGACGGACAACGTCGACTTGGAGGGGCGTGGTCCGCAACGTCCCTCTAAATCCACGTGGTCCGTCATGTCCCTCCAAGTTAATTTGGTCTATCATGCCCCTCCAAATCGACATAGTCCGTCACGTCCTTACAATTCGACATGGTTTGTCTTGTCCTTACACGTCGACGTGGTCTATACATCCCGCTAAATCAACATGGTCTATCTCATCCCTCCTCAAATAGACATGATCTATCACATCCTTTCAAATCGACGTGGTCGTCATGTGCTTCCAAATCGACATGGTTCGCCATGTCCCTTAAAATCGATGTGGCTAGTCATGTCTTGTCAAAACGGACATGGCCAGATCACGTCTTTTCAAAATCGACGTGACTAGATACGTCCTTTCAAAACCGACATGGTTAGTCACATCCTATCAAAATTAAATTGCTTTTTATTAATAGCTAGAACTAACAATAATTTTTTATCGTTTTTTATATGAATCCAAAAATAACTAAAGCCGAGGGGAAAATAAAAAAGAAGGAATTTGACACTAACTAAATCACTTTTTATTAATACATAGGCCTAACAGAGTGGCTATAAAAATAAATAAACTAAAATCGAATCCTACACTCACTTAATCACCATCATCGACTAATTTTCATTATTTTTTTAATTTGATTCCAATTTGGATAAGTAATCCGTTAGATCAATTGCATATATAGGATGAGTAAATTATAAATTAGTCCCTCTCCTTTCAAAAAATGAATTAATTAATCTTTCTAGTTTTAAAACTTATTATTCAATTCTTTTATCCAATTTTGATCATGACTAATTTAATATTTTTTATTTTATAATATATATTTGAGTTATTTGATTTACACTAACCAAATTTCGCTAGGTCTCGGTGTATGAAACCATGTTGTTTTAAGAAATGTGATAGACCATATTAACTTACAAGGACATGACGGACCTCGTTGATTTGAAAGGACATGACGGACCATGTTGATTTAGAAAGACGTGAGATGCCATGTCATTTGGAAGGACGTGAAAAACCACGTCGACTTGGAGGGGCGTGATCTGTCATGTCCCTTTAAATTCACATGATCCGTCACGTCCCTCCAAGTTAATTTGGTCTATCACGTCCATCCAAATTGATATGGTCACGTTACATCCATACAATTCGACGTGGTTTGTTGTGTCCTTACAAGTCGACATGGTCTATCACATCCCACTAAATCGACATAGTCTATCTCATCCCTTGTCAAATAGACATGGTTTGTCACGTCCTTTCAAATCGACGTGGTCGTCATGTGCTTCCAAATCGACATGGTCCGTCATGTCCTTTAAAATCAACGTGGCTAGTCATATCCTGTCAAAACAAACATGGCCGGTCATGTCCTTCTAAATTGACATAGTCATTCACGTCTTTTCAAAATCAACGTGACTAGATACGTCCTTTCAAAGCCGACATGGTTAGTCACATCCTATCAAAATTAAATCGCTTTTTATTAATAGCGAGAACTAACAATAATTTTTTATCGTTTTTTACATGAATCCAAAAATAACTAAAATTGAGGAGAAAATAAAAAAGAAGGAATTTGACACTAACTAAATCACTTTTTATTAATACATAGGCCTAAATGAGTGGCTATAAAAATAAATAAACTAAAATCGAATCCTACACTCACTTAATCACCATCATCGACTAATTTTCATTATTTTTTTAATTTGATTCCAATTTGGATAAGTAATCCGGTTAGATCAATTGCATATATAGGATGAGTAAATTATAAATTAGTCCCTCTCCTTTCAAAAAATGAATTAATTAATCTTTCTAGTTTTAAAACTTATTATTCAATTCTTTTATCCAATTTTGATCACGACTAATTTAATATTTTTTATTTTATAATATATATTTGAGTTATTTGATTTACACTAACCAGATTTCTGCTGGGGCTCGGTGTATGAAAACGTGTTGATTTTAAGGAATGTGATAGACCATGTTAACTTACAAGGACATGACGGACCTCGTTGATTGGAAAGGACGTGACGGACCACGTTGATTTAAAAAGACGTGACATGCCATGTCACTTGGAGGGACGTGACGACCAACGTCAACGTGGAGGGACGTGACAAACCACATTGACTTGGAGGGGCGTGGTCCGTCACGTCCCTTTAAATCCACGTGATCCGTCACGTCCCTCCAAGTTAATTTGGTCTATCACGTCCCTCCAAATTGATATGGTCCGTCACGTCCGTACAATTCGACTTGGTTTGTTGTGTCCTTACAAGTCGACATGGTCCATCACATCCCACTAAATGGACATAGTCTATCTCATCCCTTGTCAAATAGGCATGGTTTGTCACGTTCTTTCAAATCGACGTGGCTGTCATGTGCTTCCAAATCGACATGGTCCGCTATGTCCTTTAAAATCGACGTCGCTAGTCACGTCCCGTCAAAACAGACATGGCCGGTCATGTCCTTCTAAATTGACATAGTCGATCACGTCTTTTCAAAATCGACGTGACTAGATACGTCCTTTCAAAGCCGACATGGTTAGTCACATCCTATCAAAATTAAATCGCTTTTTATTAATAGCGAGAACTAACAATAATTTTTTATCGTTTTTTATATGAATCCAAAAATAACTAAAACTAAGGGGAAAATAAAAAAGAAGGAATTTGACACTAACTAAATCACTTTTTATTAATACATAAGCCTAACGAGTGGCTATAAAAATAAATAAACTAAAATCGAATCCTACACTCACTTAATCACCATCATCGATTAATTTTTATTATTTTTTTAATTTGATTCTAATTTGGATAAGTAATCCGGTTAGATCCTTTGGATATATAGGGTGAGTAAATTATAAATTAGTCCCTCTCCTTTCAAAAAATGAATTAATTAATCTTCTTAATTTTAAAACTTATTACTCATTTCTTTTATCCAAATTTGATATGATTAATTTAATATTTTTTATTTTATAATATATATTCGAGTTATTTGATTTACACCAACTAGATTTCTGCTGGGTCTCAGTGTATGAAAGTAGGGATTGGATCATAAAAATATAGAAAGAGCACCAGACACTGCAATTATTTTCTCAAATATTTAAGATGCCAAGCTCTTTAAATCATCAAAAGTGGCGGTCGTACAAAATGCCCGCCCAACAATTCCACCAAGAACACCACCTGTGGGATTCTCATCAGCAGCGAGAAATTGGACTCTTGTCATCCACTGGGCAAAGAATGTAAAGGAAAATGCCTTCGAAGAATCTAGGTGAGCAGAATTGTGGAAGAAATGCTGCCTCTGCCTTTTCAACTCATTATCAGCCCTGATACTAACTTTGGTTGCTCCTGAGTTAGCTTTCGAATCAGCAGCCAATTTTGTCTCAACTTCAACCGATTCTTCAACCCCTGCTTTATTTGTCAATAAATCCATCCCAAGATGACCAAATCCAGATTAAAAATACAATGAAGTTGCTACGGGGTGAGTCCTTGTACGAGAGAGCAGATTTGTATTAAGGGAGAAGTAAAACATTCAAATCAAGCGGAGAAGAAGAAGAAAGGGATCAGTGTTGATTCTTCAATCGATCGGCGATAATTGAAGAGAGAAAAATTACGGTTGGGTTATGGGAGAATCGAACATGAATACGTGATTTGGGGATTTTGGGGTTTCTATACGGGGGCATTTTGGATTTTTTATTTTTTATTTAGGAAATTTATTTATTTAAACTTAAAAAATAAAAATAAAATTTACTGTGTGTAAATATCATGTGCATATGTGATTCAAATATGATGTGGTTATTTGAAAATTTGAATGGATAGATGATATTAAAATGCGAAATAAATGTTTAGGAATGATATTAATGAAAAATGTAATAAAATGATATGATTAAGATTTTTTAAAAAAAAAAGTGAAAGAGCTCCCTAGACCACTAACCCATTAAGAAAATAAACAGAAATTTATATGTGATTTTTTAAAAATACAATCGTCAATGTGGAAGAATATATATTATTTAAATTTTATAATAAATAAATTCTAAAGTTTAACTTAATCTATAATTTATATATTTTTTATATTTAAAATTTTTATATTTTTAAAATATTATATTTATTAAAAACATATTATTTTAAATTTTGAGTTAAATTATTATTAAATCGGATAAATATATATTCAAATTTGATCAATTTAATAAATAAGTTAATAGAATTGAATCATAATCGAACTCAAATACAAAAAAATATATATTTATTAGATCTATTTAATTACATCGTCAAAATCCGATCTATTTATAACTTTTTTCGCATGATAAATCCTATTTTTAGGTTTATTTTATGATTAGTATTTATACATATTTATGCATTATGAAGAGAACTTTTTGTTGATTAAAGAAACTTTGTGAGAGTTCTCTTCCAAAATTTATGTCTGATCAACAATTGTTAAAGTTATAATGAAATTTTAAACTTTGTCAAAATCAACTAAGTTTTGGTTACTTTGTTTGATAAATTTTAGCTAACTCTAAAATTTTGTTTACTATGTGTTTTGACTGCGTCGGACTTGCGCTTGTATTGTGTGTTGTTGGATTATTATGTTTGGGAGCTTAATTTCAGCTTGTATTGATCTTCACTAGGCCCGGGTCAAATAATAAATTAAGAGGAACATATCTGGACATGTGCCCTGCACGCCTGAAGGAAAGGGCTAAAAAAAAACCAAAAAACAAAAAGCTCAACAAAATTAAGAGTTGCGTAGATCTACGTTACAAGGAATAAGAAAACCTTTAGCAAAAGGAATTTCCAAGAGAAAAACAATGAAGCAGCACATGATAAAATAGCAACGTTCATCTAAATAATTAACCAGAAAGCACCTCAGTACCACCCTTCTGTAAGATTTAAGAGTTGAAAAAATTAAAAATATTTACAGTGGAGATCAAATTTCCAGTTTCTGCATCAAATCAAAAGATCCAGTACCCATTTTCACTGGCAATCCAAGACAAACCCTGGCAGATGGAGCTTCCAAATTATCGACCTCCCCATGCAATGCTGCTTCAACTATGAATTTGGATGCGGTCTCAAAGGACATTTTACTTAAAGGTGATATTGACTCCGATATGCCTCCACTACGGCTCATTGGGCGGTACTCACCGGTATGGGTCATATAATCAGCAATAAGTGACAAATGCCGTGTATTGACAGATATTCCATAAGAATTGAATACGTGCTTTATTTCCCTAATGATGGTCTCTCTTGCAGCCTCTACTCCATAAGCTTTCAGCATAGCATGAATGCTGTTGGAATACATATACCTAACATCAAGATGATCTTGCATTTTCCAAAATGTATTGAAGTCCACTCCAGTCGTATGCAATGCCGGAATTTTTTGTTTTTCTCCAGGTTCAATATCAACTCTTTTCTTGGGGTCTTTTCCATAGAAAATCACTTGATTTTCTTTACAGTCAGTCACTTGACACCTTTGAACCTTCCCAGGATTCTGGATACAGACCTTCTTGGCTGTCTTCTGAGCAATCTATATAAAATTAAATAAAAATCTTTAATTTCATCTTTAGACAAAGTGATTAAAAAATATATAAGAAATGGATTGAATGTTGAAGAAACAACCCAATAAATACAGATAAGGATGTAACTGAATAATTCTCCCCCTAGGAAGAGGAGGGGAATGAAATGCTGAAGGTAACAATTTGAAATAGCTCTAATCAGAATGTGAAAAGAAATGGTCTAATCGTGCTAATTGTTGAAATAAGAAGACAGAAATAATGCTAAAATTACTGTTCTCATTTAGGCATTCATGTTAAAAAAATTTAAAGGCCAATCTAACTTGTATTCCCAGCATACTAGAAGGAAATATAACTTATATTTCTAAGTGCGCCATCTGCTTTACATATGATGTTATTCCTACAGAAGTGCGCTATCTGCTTTATAGATGATTTTATTCCTACAGAAGTACTGGAATCAAAAGCAAGTGATAAATTTTGGCACAGAGAGATAAAAGCAAGCCATAAAAGAGTGATTTGTTACCCAAGTTGCAATGCATATTGAATATAGCTTCATATTCATCTCAATCTCAACTAATGCTGAGAACAAAAGAATTGCATGAGCATGGATACAAGTGCCTACAAATTTTTAAAGTTTATCAATGGAGGGGAGGAAATCCCACCTTGAAGAAGAAAAACATAAACATAAATTTCAGCACCAACCAGATTGTAAACAGAAAGAGCTATCAGAAACTAAAGTTTTCAAGGTCAATTTTCATAAATGGGCAACAAAGTCATGAAAAAACAGAAAATTGCAACCTATGATAGAGAAAATTATTGGGTACTAGATAGAGTTGGCCCATAAACAAATAGTCACATAAAGTAGATTCTACAATGAAAGCTCGAAACGCTACATGATAACATACCTCTGCCAGCAAAATATGAGGTTCATTGGTGAATTTAAGATGGATTTCAAAGTGCAATCCGTTGGCTGCCACAAAGATTGCTCTATCAAAGTCCTTCTTAACTAACTTCGATCTAACTTTCTTTCTCTTAGCTTTTAGTTTCTTCTTTTCTGTTGACTTTAGCTTAGAATGCATTTCGACTTGTGATGAACTTTCTGAGGTTTTCTTCCTTGACTTTGGCTTAGACTTATTTCCAAGATGTGATGGATTTTCAAAATTTCCAGTGTCATTGTCAACCATATCATTGTTGTGGATCCCAGTTTCATTATCAGCTGATTCAGTTTCACTTTCAGATCCAGACAGAGCCTGGCTTACTGATGAATCCCCTTCATCTTCAGTCAGTCCACCCTCAGAACCATCATCATAATCCATCTCATCTGTAGCTTGCTGTTTTCTTTTCTTCACATCTAAACCTAGATCATCAGCCCCTTCACTTTCTTCACCATCGCTATCATCATTGGTTTCTCCCTCATGTGATATATTGCCAGAAACATCTTCTTCTGCTTCAATTGGAGCCCCTGAATGCGATTCCTTCAAAAAATTCTTAATGCCACTAATTTTAGAAAGCAAAACCAGATGATTTTGTATAGCATCCTCCAACTCCCTCACAAACACCACCTCAAGGGTTTCTTCCCAATCTTCTATCGATATATTAGCATGTTGTGGGTAGTGCGCTGGTGTATGAAGCTTGATTTTAAGCTTATAAATTCTGCAAATATCATCATTCTGAACAGCAAATGGCATGACAGATACTTCCATACTCTCTACTATATCTGCTACAGTCACCTTCTTCAACTTATCAGAAAGAAGCTCAGCATCCTCTCTACAGATTACAATATATCAAGAACTCAATCAACAAATTTTCAGGTCTGTATAAACGTCACCTAGATGTCTATGCATAAAAAAGAAAATGACGTGCTTATTCATCAGTGTGCCAGCATATCTATCGAGCAGCAAAACTGTACAACAGATAAGAAGTTCTAAGGAAAAATGAATTGAAAAAAAAAAAAACAATAGAACACAGCTCTTGACCATCCCAAATGTTGATTTTGTAAGCAGGTTGCCTGGCTGTCTAGAGACATTTTCAATGACCAAGATAAGAAGTTCTAAGGAAAAATGAATTGAAAAAAAAAAAACAATAGAACACAGCTCTTGACCATCCCAAATGTTGATTTTGTAAGCAGATTGCCTGGCTGTCTAGAGACATTTTCAATGACCAAGTACTGAACAGAAAAGATTGGAAGTCATAAAAGTTTCAACCATCAAAATATCCTCCACTAAGCAGGTTTGAGCGCAATTTGAAGAATACCAGAGATGAAGAAAACTGCCTCCAGAGACAGATTGTCTGGCTAACGTGGATTTTTTTAGAGAAGTGATTGAAAAAAGACACGGATAGATTCCACTGTCTTCAGTTGAAAAGCAACAATGGAATCCTGATGGGGCACGCTCGATATTGGATCAAAATGCGAACTTTATAGAATCTGCATGTTGATGATGAAACCATAATCTGCATCAGCCTCTTCCTTTTTTTTTATTAATTACTTAGATTTTTATCCTTCTGATTTATCCATCATATATAATTAAAGAAGTTACAGGATTCCGCTAAACAAAGCCAACAAAAGACTAACGCCGGCTCTTTTCTGGTACCCTTGCAAGTTGCAACTACTCTTATTAAATAAAGACGATGTTACTCGGAACATGGATCACTAGGAGCAGCACCTCAATGGTCACTTGATATAACAATTTCCATAGCCAGTTTGAAATAAATTAACACATGCAATACTAACAATTTAACATAATTCTGATCTATTGTCAGAAGTATTGGGTTAATATGTAAAAAATTTGAGTTGTATTTAACAAGATTTTAAATTTTAAATTGGATATATTTCAATTTAGTGGGCATTACATTTGTACTAGTTTATTTGAAGTTAGTTCGGTTTAGACATGATCTGGGTCTGCTAAACAAAAATTGGCACATGTTAAGCACTTAAGACTTGAATGCGTACTGTTTTGGTTGGTTAGCATGGTAACACTTGCAAAAGGGGATTAGACAACAGTATCCAGGTCTTATTTGGGGCCAGTAAGGAGGTATCTTCTTGCTCTGTTTCTGGAGTTTTAAGATCTGGTGAATGCTCTTATTTCCTCTTTCCTTCCCCTTCTTTTCATTTATTTCCCTCTACCTCTCTTGCAGCTTTCTCCCTCCTCTTTCCCCTCTACTTTCTGTATAGTTTCAGGTTCTTTCCCTAATTCTTTACTACTATCTTATTCCTATCCTCTGTTTCCTTTCCTTCCACCTGTATCAATTAATTGAAGCACAAAAAGTTGTCTCAGCAAGTTACTTAGCTTTTCCTTCCAATTGGCTACAGCCTATATCAGTCTTGATGCCTCAGGTTAAAGGAACTATATCACTCTTGCACGCATTGACTTTCTCAACTTTCTCTCATCCTATCCTTAGTTCACTTTAAAAATTGACAGATTGGTTTTGTCTAATTACGTTAAGACTTAACAGTTTTCAGCTTGTTTGCCTGGGTTGGAATGAAATACTTCAATCTGACAGATCCTTGAGTATAGATATAGCTTCCTTACTGTGTAGTTTACCACCATATGATCTCTAAATTAATTTGATTGCCCCAAAGCTGCATCACAATCTCATATCACAAAAGTTCCACCGGTTAGAGTAAACGTTCCATATAAAGTTGCTCGCATTGTCGCATTGATGGTTAGCTTCAGTATACATATGAAGTTCACTCTTTCACTTCATTCATAATGTCACTGCCGTTCTAAACTGATTGTCAAAACCTCTATTTCTGGGAAATGACATACGAGATGTTTTGATGGCATGCAGTGGAAGCAACAGACAAGTAAATTTGACTATTATAAGAGATTGGCCCCAAAATTGTTAACAGTAAAATAAACAGAAATAACAGATGTCAGTAAAGAGTAACAACTTACTTTGTTCTCCCTTCTTGCAAGGGACAGGTCATGATTGGAGTCTTGATATCAGCTGAAGCAGTCATCAAAATCTCTTGAAGACGCGGAATTCCAAGTGTTACATTCATTTCACCACGCCCGGCTAGATGGAAAGTGTTCAGCCTGAAATTAAGAGTAATATTAAATAACTTGGGAAAATGAAGAATGCATATCAACAAATGATGTTTTTCTTAAATGAACAAAAGAAAAGGAACGCCAAAATTTGGAGCCCTATTGATGCTAAAAAGGAAAAGGAGAAAAAGAACCATGCTGTTTCTATCATACACATATTAAATATGTATTAGTAAGTGGTTGTTTTGAAAATAGGGGATGAGTTGTTGGTGGAGAAATTCTTACAAGAGTAAATGTTAAGGGCATAAAGGTTGATTTGCCAAAATAATTGGTGAATTAGCAAATTCTACATTACTCACAAATTTTAAGAGGGGGGTGAAGTATGGATGTGTAAAGGTGAAAAAACCAACCCACAAGCAATTTTCAACCAAACTGAATAGGATTGCACAAAATGAGAGTCCACCAATGAACCAGTTGCTGTGATTAATTGCAGGCATTGAATTGGTTTATCGGTTTCATCTGTCATGACTAGCTATCAAGTTGATGCAGGAGCTTATGAAGACCTTTTGCTTTCCTTATTAGTTGTAGTGTTTTTATCTGGTTTATGAATCATTTCATCATTTGCATTTTTCTGTTGTCATGGTATTGGCATGTGATGACTTTTAGTCAGTGATTTTAGGAGGGCTTAGACCATTATAATTTACTAATCTTATTTTTTATCAATCTATTCTGACATGAGAGGAAGGTGGTAGTTTTTTTTTTTTTTTTTTTTTTTTGGGCTAAACCCTAAATCTTATCCACTTATGCTTACTCCAGTTTTCTTCAAGTTCGAGCATTTATATTGCTTTCGTTTGTTGTTTTGTGTTATTTTCTCCACTCAACATCACAGGACCAAATAATCACCATATGAACAACCCATTGTTTCTATTTCCATCAGCCAACTCTAACACCATAATCTCCAGGCAAAAACCCATATAACCACCAACTCCTACATGCATTTGAAATTCAAATCTGACAGTGAAGGAGAAAAAAAGAAGCAAAATTATAATATTTTTGTGTGATTTTCATAGACAATCGTGTTTCTGTAATTTCCAGATTTGCTGGAAAATCTGGAAAAACTGTGATTTTCTGTTTAGTATCTTATTATTCATAAAGCAATTAGATTTATTAGATTTTTTCCTATTCTAAATAGGACTTAGTAGTTTCTATTATAGCATTTTAAAATCCTTTTTTCGATTAGGACTTCCACAACTCTATAAAATAAGCATGTAGTCTTTCAATGTTCTTCAATGCAATATTATCCAAGAATTTTCCAGCAATTTGTTTTTGATTGTGTGATGCAATCTTCCCATAGGTGCGACTCCTAAGAACCCTAGGTATGTAAGCTTAGGTTTTCCCTCCTAGGTGTGACTTCTAGAAATCTATCCTATGTCCATCCTCACATTCCAGCAAACAACCCACACAACCTAGCCTTGAAACACTCATCAACTATCCCTAAACAACCTCCAACGCATAGCCAGCCAACCCTAAAGCAATTACCCATAATACATTCATCTTTCTATCCCCTAAAACACAGTTCACATACTGTCACAGCCCCCAAAATTCAAACCCAGAACAGCCCCAAAGCTGTCCTGGGTCAGAAAGCTTAACAGGAATTGTCATCTTTCCTTTTTTATTAACAAATTAGATTCACTTTAATAGAAAACTGGGTGGGATAAGACTGGATGTTGAGGGTTGGGCAGACGGTATAGAACTTTGTGGTGGACGATCAGCCACCAAACCTCCAACTAGGCTTAAATTGTTCTCAAGAAATAAAGACGGATTTTTAGTAGGTTTACTCTTTGATTGATTCAAGTAAAAGACCTTCAACATTGAAATAATGTTAATACAATTAGCTGTGATTCTATAAGGAGAAATATCTCACAAGCTAAAATAGAAAGCCATCACTACATCTATGGATACCTATAATAGGAACAGAAACGCAACCCATTTAACAACTGTCATCATGCTCATGCAGTCATAATCTGAACAAGAATACAAAGTAGCTTTTTTGGGATAAAGAGAAAACAAGTGCATTTATTGAGAGAAGAGTAGGCAAAGAAAAAGAAATCTTACGTCATCTGTGTTGATGGTTCTCCTACAGACTGAGCAGCAAGGACACCAACTGGTTCTCCTGGTTGTGCAAGACTCAGGAAAAACTTTTGCTTCAGTAACTTATAGAACTCATGTTCTGCTAAATTATCCTTTGTGGGATCACGTAAAGAACTCTGCTCCTTTGCAATATTACGTAGGAATGTTTCTGCTTTTTCTTTAAGAGCTTTAGGCAATTCCGAAATATAAGCATTAAATGTGCCAAGCTCATCACTCTTTTCGTTTATTATTTCTCGATTCTGAATATAGAAAATTAATAAGAAATAGTAAATTTAATCTGTAATCATTTTATGGTTCTGGGATTAGAAAATTGCACATAGAGAATTCAGATTCTGAATACAGTAAAAATCTTACTGCTGCCAATGCTTCAAATTTAGCAATAAAACCCGTTTGATGAACATCCACACCATCTTCCCCATAGTAAAATTGAACAATCGAGCCATCAGCATCACGAACTGTATGATCATAGCTGATTCTCAGGCACTCGAGATTTTTAATCAGGCATCTTTGGAGGTAGCCACTGCGAGATGTTTTGACAGCTGTATCAACCAACCTATGAAAAAAATAAAAAATAAAAATAAATTCTATAATCAGTAGAAATTCATAATCAAATGACCAACCATGAAATATCATTTCAACCAAAATCTATATACTGCATCTTGCATTTTTAACATTAATAATAAACAGAAGTGAGATTACAGCAGTATTATACAACAGGTGGCACAAGCACAGGCATTTCTGATGTAAATGCAAAACATTGTGAAATGCCATGTTCTCATGGTGCATTCTTGACAACAAGTGCAGATACACAATAAGAATCCTATCACAGGTTACAACACGTTTATTTAATAGAGCTTCAAAGAAGAACTCGAAAAAGGTTGAGATTGAATTTCCATTTACCCTTCACGACCAGCCATACAATGGAAATAATATTCTTGAGGACGAAGACCTGTGAGAAAACGATCGATAATATAGCCTCCAGCACGAGCTGCCCAATCCCATGGATGAAAGCAGGGCAAAGTCTTTCCAGAAACCATTCGAGGGACTCTTTTACCTTCCAACTCCTGTTGGCCCAGAAAAGAAGATATCTGTTGGAAATTGACCTGCACAAGGAATATTGCAATTAGCAAATAGGGCTTCAGCATCAAGAAAATAATGTAAAACAATATGGAGTTCAAGTCCCAGAATGTGCTACTTTGAAACTGAGATCCAACCCAGTATAGCATAACTGAATAGGGCACCATAATCAAAAGGCCTACTGTGATTAAAAAAAAGAAGAAGAAGAAGAGAAAAGCTAATGCTTATAGTTCACAAAGGCAGGCTATTTCAAAAAGTAATATCTGTTGAACAAACATGCACAATAAATTGATCAATGCAACAGCAAATGAAACCAGAACTTACATACCAACTTACTTTTCATCAGCAGATTCAATCTCAAAAGGAAGAAATTTGATTTTATAACAATCATAATCTTGATTTTCTCCTCTTCAAATAGCACATGGTTTCAAGATTCCTTTTATTTTCAACTCAACAATTCTTTACTCCTATGAGGTTGTAAGGCCCCATAAAGGCTTAAGTGGTGTCCTCACCAATTGGGAAGAGGATATCTTGAACCCTGTTAACATCAAAATTTAGCTGTATTCTGTATCTAAGGTTACTCAGCACAGCTCTCTCTAATCAACTATAAGCAGTTGTCATTCAAACAGTCTATGCAAGCAGCTTTTCTTCCATCACCTTCCCTACATCAGCACTCCTTTTCCATTTCTTCTTATTTTCTCCCATGCTGTTTGTTTCCCAGCGAACCTTTATACTATCATTTTTAGTGGCAGGAATTTGTTAAGGAAGCAACTCCAAGGACTTCAGGGCTGAATCAAAGACTGTGGTTCTAAGGTGGATGTCAATAAGTCAATGGGTTGCAACTTGCAACGTTGGGCAAAATATACAATTTGAGAACTCCAGAGGAAATTAAATTGCGGTTGATATTGAGATTTAGGGTGAAAGCATAAAATCAGATACTTTGGCCATTCTAAGAAGGTAGACAAAACAAAAATTATGTCACAAGGCATGTGCACAATTAGGTTGGCTGTTAGAACAAAACAATAATTATAGCTTTCAAAACAAAGTTTCAATAACAGGGGTTTTTTTGACAAGCCAATATCAGAAGTTGCATCGTAATTTACAAAACTGAAAACATTCAAGTCAAAGTTGTAGTGAATATTTAACTGCTGAATTTCAATCATAAATACAGGAGAGGCAAGGTCATCACAAGATATCAACATCTCTCAACATACTTGTTAACCAAGTTCAAATTATTGTATTCCAGCCTATCCTATATTCTATAAGGAATTCAACTTATTACAACCCTGTACACCAAAACCACGAGAGATAAACACACAGATCTAAAAGGCATCAATCGTTACAGCTCAAATTACAATTAAAGTAAGGATCTCTATCAAAAACATTGCATATGATTATTCAAGCATCATCATAATGCAAAATATCTTACCTTGCTACCTTTAGCCCCAGATGTAGTCATAAGCGATATACAATTATTTCCAGAGGGTTTTAGCAACCCTTCAGACAACAGCTCATTGAGGACTCCTGAACTTGTTTTGGAATTTAGTTCATTTGTCATCTGCCTATCCAGATATGTCAAGGCAGACTCCCCATCACTACGTATAGTTTTCTCAATATTCAGTTGTAATTCCAATGGACCTGCAGACCAAATAAACAAAAACATAAAAACACGTCCTTGTAAAAAAAAAGGCATAAAATACATTATTGCAGAAATGTTAAAAAGCAAGGGCATAGAGAATTTAAGCTGCTACTAAATCCAAGAAATTTAATTAAAACAGATATAAGCCAAGCCATAATATTCTTCCATGCTAAAGAATCTGGTGATGCATCAACTATGCTGTCGATGAAAAGCCAAACTCCTGTCAGATTACTGCAAGTCTGGATGGAGTAGTAAGACATCAACTTTTTCAATTAAAAACCATGATCAAGCTAGACAGAAACAAACTCCACAACCTAAGCAGGGAAGCCTTCAGGCTAGGAGCCCCAAGAACTACAAGCTCCTATATTGTTATTAATCAACCAAGTCCCGAACCAGTCAAGTAATCTCTATCTCTCGCGTAAGACCTTTCCAACAACTCATCTAAATTTGAGGAGGAAAGTTGAAAACTACAGCCAAACCATTGGTATCATCCTTCGCAAATTCAAAAATGCATGTTCTCACCTTCGTATGTCCTTCCCAACAATTCATCTAAATTTGAGAAGGAAAGTAGAAAAATATAGCCAGATCCAGTTGAGCCATGCTTGGCATCCAAAAATACGTGTTCTCACTTAGTTCTAATTCTTGAAAAGCTGTTCACCTCAATCATGAAGGATGACATTAAACTAGAACTTGACGAAAAAAATTCTATGCTAAAGAGCAGCCAAGAACAAAAAAAAGATACCAAAAGTAAAGGCATACCGATCTTAATGTTCTCATCCTTAATTCCAATAAATTTACGATGAACCGGTTCCCCACTCTTTTCACAGTTTTCAAGTTGCTTTTTCCTTTCATCATCTTTAGTTTTCATTATCAAAAGATCATCAACTCCACATGTAAATCCATGCATCTGAACCATTAAATAAACCAGTGAAAATATGTTAATGCATGTAACAAACTTCACACAAAAATAGCAATTAAAGCAAAGATTTTAAATTTAAGCTTCCTGACCTGCAAATAAGCTGTAAATAAACGACTGAACACAGAGAGCAGAGTGCCAGCTGCATTTGAGCCAAACAGTTCTTGAACTGTATGCACCAAACCATACTCACCAAACTGTGCCTTGTCAATCACCCCTCGGACCAATACATTCCTAGAGATAATCATCTTATCATCTTCAAGCTGTTTTTCCTTTGGATTAACTTTCCCAGACTCTTTAACCTTCATTGGTTTGTTTACACCAAATTTTTTTCCGTTGCTAGATTTGTCTTTCTTAATTCTACTCTTAAAAAAATCATATGCGAGCTTCCCACTTTTTTCAACAGTGAATGGTGGATGACCCCTTGTAATGTGATTCAACACAGCAGTAATGACCTGAAAAGGCAAGCTAGATTTAATTAAGTTAAAAATGTAGTTCCTGTTTATTATTGTGGAGCAATCCACCTCCTTGCACTGCCGTATACTGGCTTTTGTTGTTGGTTACTGCACCACAGGCAGGGATATTGCATAGTGCACAAATCATGCACAACTAAATGACCAAATCAAATTGCTAAGCAACCAAAAAAATTGACAGGAGCATGACCCGTGCTGAAAAGCTAAAGTCTTCGAGCATCGTATTCATGCTTCAGAATCCCAAACAAAAATATCCGGTATTGCTTTCAGATTTAAAAAAAAAAAAACTATTTAAAGACTACAAAAAGCTATTAACAAACCAATTGACATAAACATGAAACACTAACCTGTTTTCCTGACCATAGATAAATGGGTTTCCTTATTGCAGGATCAAGGGTCTGAATCTCATCTTCATAACTTAAAAATATAACTTTCCGGCCAGGTTTGCCACTGAAAGATGTTGGCCGTGCATTTGACACACCAGAACTATAAAGTAGTTGATATATTTCATCCTCCGTCAAAAAAGTGTCCTTCTTTGTAAGAAGCACAGCACTAATAATATGATCCTGGTACGTTCAAGTAAGAAAATATGATACATCAGCGGCATGTACTCTAAGCTTATCAAGCAAAACAAGGAAAAAAAAGGCCATTTTTATGGGTAATTATCATATGAAATAGTGTAATAACCTGAATCAAGGCTCTAATTGGTTCACCGTTGGAAGGCCTGACATATTGATTATTTGCATTAACAATGTTGTAACCTTCAGCCCGAGAAACTTCATCTTGTGGGAAATGGACATTCATTTCATCGCCATCAAAATCAGCATTGTATGTGCTGTAGTCAGAACAATTATCAAAATTAGAATAGCAAGAAAAATCTCCTAATTTGATCTCAACAATGATATAGGCATACATGCAAGCACATATATGCATATGTTCATGCACTGCACATTTGGGTGTTAACATACATATATGATATGCAAAATATCAACCTGCAATTTGCATAGTGCATGCGTAGTGTCTTCTCCCCCTTCAATACGCGAACTACATGTGCCATTATACTTGGTTTGTGAAGTGTAGGCTGCAATGGAAAATCCAAATCAGAACAAAGTAATAACAAAGAAATAGCTGTGAAACATTATGTAGGACAAGTTTGAGTGTTTTTTTTTTAAAAGCTACAGAACGCAATAAGCACGACTTCTTCACAGCCATGTCCTTGCTAACAAAGGAACAGACCATCCATTGATTTCACGACCGACCTGGTGCAACTAAGGGTCCAAGTAGTTACAGCCAATCAGATAACAAAAAATTTTGAAACTTTCATGAGCAAATACAGTACAGCACACCAACTGGTCAGCTGCAATGCTATTCCTAAGGATAGACAGCTATGATATACAATAGCAATAACATGCCCATCTGCACTACCAAAAGAACATAAAATTGAGATTTCCAAGGACGATTCTGAAAATGATCACAAAGATATAGTTATTGGAAACGGCACTGATTCTCACAATATGGCTCAAATAAGTAAATAATTGGGCGTCAGGGAAATTTATACTTCTCTGTCTAGAACTTAATCTGAGTAATATTCTTCTTGTGATAGCAACCTATTCACATAATCAAGTAGGGTTCAGACTGAAGAAATCTGGAATTCAAAATGTCAAAAAAAGCATCCCAAAGCTATAAAAGGACACTCCATGAAAGAATGCCCTGCCCAAACATCTCCCTTCAGCTCCACAAGCCTTAAATCTCATTGTAGGCATACCACTCTTTCCCAATGGCAACTTGGCTGCAATTATCTTCCTTCATTACCTCTTCTAAAAGCCAAATCTTAAAAGATAAAGCGCAAATACACTTAGCGTGTGCGACACCCTTACATAGATCAAGACTGCTACTTGTATGCCTACCATTGAAATAATGAAACAGGGGGGTCCTAGGCATGCAATTGAATCCAATTCTGCAAACAATATTGCAAGCCATGCTAGTAGAAAAAGATCAAAATATATAAAGTTACCGATGTCAGCATGTAAGAGCATAAATAAGAACTAACTCCAGAAACAGAATCTCATGTCCAATTAGATCTAACAGACTAATTATGACATTCGGTCAGACATTCAAAGAAATTAAAAAAGATGGAGAGAAATGGTAAAAGAATGATTGAACAAGGAATCTCCAGGCATCGCTGCCGTGTGAACATATCTCCAGAGATACCCACGCGCACAAACCACATTCTTCTTCAAAATTTAGACTCTTTATTCACCCAGAAGCACAGATTTTTTAAAAAGTCAACAAATAAAAAAAGAACTCTGAAATATAAGCCAAGCATGAATTATCAAAACAGCAGATAATGCCTCAACTCAAACAAATCCTGTTATAAAAATCAAGAATCGCAAACACAAAATCTTCTATATGCCATCATATATGCATACTAAACGAAGCAATCAAGTTGGATAGTTATTCACCTGTCGATTGACAAGCACAATGTCTCCATCTTGCAAATGGCGATATACAATTTTCCCTTCTTCATAATCAGAACTCATCCCATATAATTTTCTTCCTACAGAAATACGCATTTTTCGGCTTGGTGGCAGTTTAATAGTAGACAGTTTATCCACATAGTGTGTAGCTCCAGGATGACTTTCAGGGCCATTGATTACGGCATTTCTCAATTTGGCAACATTCCACGGCGTCACTCTCTGCAAGCACATAACATCAAAACAAGCAGAGAATAGAAAGGACCAAAGCAACCAAAGATGATAAGTGAGTAAGAGAACAATTAAAGCTTCCAACAAAAGAGTTGATCGGCCTCTGGGAAGCTTTAAATAGAAAACAAATCAAACTAATCTCATCTGTTGCATAATGGAGCAAGACAGGGAATGTATATCCGCACAAACTGATGAAATAGATATCATCAATGACACATTAATCAGCATGTGTTTATGCACATCCATGTAAATCCTGGACAGTTCTAGATGCAGTCAATACCATATGGTACAGATAAAATATAAAATAAACGACTAGTTCACAATTACAGAGACACAGTCCCCCATTTCTTGGCATAGCTAACCTTAACTTAAATTGACAAAACAAAGCAAAATAGATCAGATTGATATATTAAAAGACTTTACCTCAGGATATGTTAACTTTACAGCAAAGCATGGAGGAACTCCAATTTCGTTAACATCTAAATAAGGATCTGGGGAAATAACAGAACGGCATGCATAATTAACCCTCTTTCCCATCATTTTCTGCCGAAACATACCCTCCTTTTTCTCAAGTAACTGGCATATTCCAGAAATCACATCCTTTTGACCTGGACCCACAATTAAGAAAAGGAATCCACTGCTTAGTTGGAGTTGATAGCTTTATGAGTTTGGGCATAGACAATACAAACATAGCAGGAACAGCAGGTAAAATAGTTGCATGGTGTTCTGCCTACTCTTCCAGTCTACCACTATCCCAGGATTATGAAGGAACTCTAAACCTGGTAAGTTTCAGTGATTTTTAAGAAATATAAGAGCAGAGGAGAAGCTAGTATCATTTACAACCATGTAACCATAATTACACATGCCACCAGCATTATTCACAACCATGGATTTCAGGACACCAGTTAGCATAAAGATGTAAGAGTGCATGACTATATAGCTTAATTTGCATGCAACATTCTCATTGTTCGGAACACTGGTATGTTTTTCTCCCTTTTATGCATGTAAGCCTCTTTTATGTGAAAAGGCAGGGGCAAAAATATAGTTCCAAAACGCTCCTCTCCCATGCTATTTGGAGGGGGGGGGGGTTGGCGGGTCCGGGAGGAAAATTTATCCCCATATTCATTCGTGTAATTTTCTATTAGCTCCTGCCACTGTCTTCTCAACCCCTTCCTTTCTCTTCGCATTTTCCCCTCCTAAATGGTGACTCCCCAAAGTTCTTAAAGTCAAACAATAAGAAATTTCTATAGGCTGTTGATTAAAACAACCCATATGCTTCATGGCTATGTAATGCTTTCTTGGCAAATTTAATTTGGTTGGTTTTTTTGTGGTTTTGTTAGGCTGTTGAATTTAGTTGCCTGTTAAATGTTGGAGGAACTTTTCCTTCCACAATCTAGAATCAAGTCACTTATTATGACTAACATATTAGACTAAATTTTTATTAGGTGGCATTTTGTTAACGGATTATTTCTTTCTCCCCTGGAACTCTAGGGAATTTACAAAATTTTGTGTTTTTTACAAAATTGGATTCCTAGGAAAGTATCATTTTGTTGTTTCTTGTTTCTTGATAATTCTAAAGATATTTGAAGTAAATTCTGGTCTCTTATGCTTCATTATTATCATACGAAAAATTTTATTAATTTTTAATTAATTGTACCAATAATTTTTTTAAAAAATAAAAAGTGTGTACTGGTAAAAGGGATCTTTAAAAATAGTATCATAAAAAATAATAAAATAATGTAATACTTAAAACTAGTAATTTAATACCATAAATAAATTTGATTCAATATAAAAAAATTAATGAAACCTTTTCCAGTAGAATTTTGTTTATCATCCTTTTAAAGTTAGTTCTAGTATTAATAATTTAGGTTAAAGAAATGAATATTTGTTAACTAGTGTGTAAATTAATATTAGGGTTTTTTTTACTTGTATTGTAAACGAAGAGGATATATCAATGATAATATTAAATTTTACTTCCAAGCACTTGAGAAAGTGAGACTCAGGAAATTTGGATTTCTATGGCAAACCAAAAACAACAGTGCCTGGAATCCCACTTTCCTAGCTTACTTTCCATTCCGATTCCATGAACAAATGCCATGTTAGTGTAAGTGCTCATTTTGGGGCATGAGTGTTTTTGGGTTTTCTTGACTTGTACTTTGTCAATTCTAGGATTATTCTTGCTACTTGTGTGCCACAAGGGAACTTAGCAATGCATCATTTTTTTTATTTTTTTTTGGCAATCAGAACAATTAAAATCTAGTATCTGCTGTTTTTTCCCTCCCATTAATCTCTCATCCAAAAAAGAGAGAGCATCAAAATCTCCTATTTCCTTCATTCCCTTCATCCACCATCACCAAACAAAAGTTTAAAAAGGTGACAGTCCATGCTTCCCTAAGAATTCTGGAAAATTCTTTTGCTAATTAATTTTGGTTTAGAGGTCAGTTGAGAGGAAGTGGGCAGTGCCCTAAAGCATAGTACAGACTGAATATCAAATAAATGGAGATAAAGACAACAACAAAGAAGAAGAGATGAAATTACCCTTGGCCGTTTTGGAATCAAACAAGACATTTATAGATTGCTGAAGTTCCAACCATCGCCTAGCTATTAATGAGAAATCGTTGCTTCTATGGGCATCTGCCAAAGATCCATTCAATTCCAGCACCTTGCTCAGCAAAACAGATAGAGGATGTTCCATCACCTACAAGAAATGCCAATACAAGATGTTACTGATACAAAGAAGAGGAAAAATTCTAACCCAGCAGATACAAGTTAATGAGAAAGATAAGAACATGTATCTGCAAGTTTAACAGCCTCTCCACTCCAAGTTCTACTTAAGAACAAAATCTGAAGCAGAACGGTCCCAAACAGAATTAAGAAAATGCATCATATCTTCCCAACCTCCCACCTCACAAAAAATAAAAAACAACACACAAAAAAATAAATAAACCTATCAGGTACTTACAGAGTTACCTCCTTTGGTTGGAGGCCTGAATTTGATTGGAGGTACTAAAACAGTGTTCAAAAAGAACATAGAAGGTCCTGCCTTTTTCTTTCCAACTCCTTGCTGCTGAATGTCACTTAACAAAGAGCAGAGTTGAGCTTCATTTTTCCACAAAAGCTTTAAAATATCCATCACCTGCAATAAAATCAAAGCTTCAAAATGTTCTCCAATTTAACAGGTTTCATCATACAGGACTATATAACATAAAGGACAAATTAACAACCACCAAAGACATAAAACAAAGGAGTTTGAAGCAAGAAGCATACTTCTGATGGTAATAACTGTGAGGACAAGGCATCATTCTGGCTTGTGAACTGATGTTGCAATTTCTGCTGTCTTTTCACATTCCTGTTTATGGCAGACTCTTTGCTGCTAGGAGGTTCAGTTGCATCCTCTGCAACTGCCAACTCTTCAAATGCACCACCAAATGGTCCTCCAATTGTATGCTGTCTAATCAGATTTGATCTAATAGCTGCACTTGACAAACCACCCTGCAGCCATGAATCAGCTGGGAAAAGTGATTACAGGCTAGAGAAATAAGATTTACAGTACAGGTTAGAAAACCCTAAGTGTCTGCACAAAGTGCTCCAAAAAAAATTAAAGAAAACAAGAATATTTCTTAATGAACACCCCCCCCCCCTCTTGCAAAAAAAAAAAAAACAGAAAAGAAAAGAAAAGAGAAAAGAGACCAGGGGATGTTGACAAATGTGAAAGGTGTAGTATTCATTGACATAACTAGAATACATCAAACTTTTGCAGACATAAAAGCAAATGTCACATTAAGATTTGACCATTTATTGTGAGCTGTTAAAATGTCTCAGATGTACTAGTTAAATTGTTCATTATTAGTGATTCAAAACAACATTACACCTAAAAATCAAAACCTTTTAGGATACTTAAAAGAACACATAAATTGTCTAAAGTTTCTTAATGCCATTAGTCAAGTACAACTGGTTTTGTTTTAGCCTTAGTAGTTGAATGAGGTTTGACAATATGGTTAGGAAGCATCTATTAATAACAATCTGAGACAAAAGTTAGCAGAAAAAAGTGCCACAAGGCAAGAGCATTGCAATAGGAAAAGAAGTTCCGTAAAAAGATGTTTTACATCACATAACCATGAGACAAATCTATAACAAGCATCTGAATGTATAAATAGATAGTATAAAAGGTTTCTATTAAGGAAGGGGAGAGAAGTAACACAAATTTCAACAAACATCATCAAGAGAACACAACTTTAAAAACGGAAAGGACCCATAAAAAAAGAGGGTGTCCATGCAATCAGATTTTATAACTAACAACTACATGGTGGTAGAAAAACCTCTCAAGAATTATGTCAAAAAACCATCTCAATCCAAAAGCTTAAGCATTTAGGTGAGGCTCCAGGAATGGTTTTTATATTACTTTGTAACACATGCCCTCGAGTGAAAGCCCTTTGGATTTGAAACTTGCACAAACCCACTACTACCTTGTGCTTAGTTATTTAATTAGAAGAAAGAGTAAGAGTGGTGAAATTCGAACTCGTGACCGTTTGGTCATCAAGACTACGATACCATGTTAAAGAACCATCTCAACCTAAAATGTTGAGCTTTTAGGTGAGGCCCCAAGAATGGTTTTTATATTAATATCTAAAAAATTGCGTTCAACCAAGTTCACCCATCATTAGCATTTTATGAAATGTTGAATATTTACTATATCTAAGAAAATCCAAGCACATCATTCCTAAGCATCTGCTGAAGTAAATAAACTTTATTCTGAAGGCCATATATGAATATTAAAAATCTCTAAATTTGCTTAAGACTGTTTATTCAACTTCTGTTGTATCACAGCAAATTTCAACCAAAAAAAAAACCCTCATATAGTTTATATCAAATTCAACATAAATCGTGGAGCAATACACAACATACAATATCAATAACTCCCCACTTTATTAACATGAAAAAAAAGCCCAAGTGCACAGCTTGGGAAACATCTTTGAGCAGAAAGGAAATTCTTCTTCAAATTTTGAGGATGAATAGCAGTTAATTTATCTCAAGTAAGTGTAAGGTGTAGAGTGCATATCACATCAAAATTGATTTTTTCTTTCTATCAATATAAATTTTCACAAAAATTCAATTCAATCGTATTCTTTGAACATCTATGCATCCCTTATCATTCCTTTATATTTGCATAAGCACAACACACAAGTCAAAGCATTCCTCTAAGAAGAAAACACAAACACAAGTTAAAGCATTTGTATTTGAAGAACTTAACGTGCATCTAAGAAAGAAGAAATGAATGTCAAAACATCTTAGGTTTCCTAAAAAGAAACAGAAATTCAAGCAGAGAATGTGAAAATATACCCAATGAAACCAACCAAAAGTAGGCTTGCGAATCTTAGGATTTGACGTTGAACAGTTCTTGCACTTCTTTGATTCCAACTTCAGAAAATTATTTAAGACAGACATTGCTTCAGATAACTGAAGGGAGGTCCATTCGATCGGCTTTGACTGCTCATTGTTTGGACACTGTGCTCCTGAATGAATTGTAGAACAAGATTCACTGCTGCCATCACTGTCGTCTGACAATGAGGCTTCACTTGGCGAGAGTGAATCCAACCTTTTAGCCCCAACAACATCACCTTTTATGATGAGTTCCAATTGAGAAACAAATTTCTCAACCTTAGTAGAAAGAAAAAATTCAAAAAAAAAAAAAAAGGACAGAAAATCTCAGATGTGGAAGAGTGGTTAAACAGTAGGAAAGAAAAAGAAGTATGAGGAAGTATTAATGACCAAAACCATCCAATTTGTCAGAGCATCAGCATTGACTGAATCACAGAAATATACCTGGTTGCTATCTGCTCTGAAATGAAAGCAGAAGAAGCAGGTTCTTTGCAGAAGTTTGTGAAGGAAATTGAAGAGCAGCGGATTGTAAACTGGACTAATCAGATCAATATGGCCACAATGACCTGAACAATTAGTTGAACGTTGGCCACATGTTTTGCAACTGCAATAAAATGATTAACAAACTGCATCAACAATGCGACAGAGACATGAAAAGGATACTGCAAAGGCCATGGTTAATATCAGTTATCATCAAAAAGTTTAAATTACTTGTTGCAATCTCTTTTCTGTCTTATTTAGTGCAATCCAATCCAGACACTAACCCATATAAATATAAAAATTCAAAAGCCGTCTCATGCACAAAAAGAAAAAGTAAAGAACAGGTCACCTTCTGAGTCCTAGTGAGCAGAAGATCATAGTAAGAAATTTTTTTTTTCCCGGAAAAAGATCATTGTAAGATAGGTTTAAAAGAATGATGTGGTGAGGAAACGAAATTGTCCAGATGTGTTGGATAGATGCATGGATGGTTTGCCATTAGAGGCAAGTCACGGGAAGTCCAACTAGGATCAGAGTTACTGATTATTTCCTTTGTGGCTTTGTAGAAAATGGGGACCATAGAATCTTGTGGCATTGTGCTGTTTTGCAGTTATATTTTGGATAGAGAAGAATGCTAAAATTTTTAAGAATAATGTATCTTGATATCTTATTGGGTAATGCTATAAAAGCTTTTATGGTGAAAGGGTGTTGCTCTAGCAGGTTATTTGACGAATGGGAATGCTCCTTTACATAGAATTTGCTTAACCTTACAGTCATTTCTGGTGGTTGAATTATACGACTACCACACAACTCCTTAAGGTTAATACCAAGTTCATATTCTTGCCAGAATACTCCACTTCCCACTACTTTAACAACGATGTTCATACTATTACCTACGATTCAATCTTTTCCCATGCAGATTTCTGCTATACACGTCCTAAGATAACTTTTTCTTAGCTTGGCCTTGTTGGCAGAACTATTCTTGCTGACCAATGAAAATATAGGATGATGGGCTCAACAATCTTAATGCCTTTTTTTTCACTTCTCCTTTTCAAATTTCTTCTTCAAGGATTTCCTACTTCCAAATTGTACTAATAAAATCATACTCTTTCGAAAAGAAAATGCTTCTCTAGTCTTAAGAAAAACTTAAAAAGAAGCAAAAGCAAAGTTCACTGGAACACATATTATAGCATTTTTTAAGAAAAATAGGGGCTTGACCCACTAAATACAAACCCTTTAGGAAGTGCAGCGTTGAATACAACAGATTTTAAAAACCTTAATAAAAACCAGTTATGTCTTTTACCGATCACTAAGCATTGAACTCCAAACGGAGAATTCTCCGCTACAAAATGATTTTAGCATAGATAGAGAAAAATTCTTGAGCCTTATATCAAGAAATTAATCAACAAGCAAGTAGTAGAAGCAAGTACCAATGCATAACTACTAAGAATGTAACCCCATTTTCAAACACATACAAAAAGGTTGACATCTGAATACAAGCACAGGCAACATAACCCTTAATGTCAACAAAATTGAGCATTCAATGCAATATCAATGAAGAATGGGTTTCTGAGACTTACGGCTCATCCCGTAGTGGCCCCATTGCTGGATCATATAACCCACCAGGCACAGGTTTGTCTAAAGTATCAAGCAATCTTGCGCTCGTAATCTTTATAAAACTATGCTCCCGAACCTCTTCATCAGTTAAGAAGCTAAACGCTACCGAGTCAACTGACACGGTTGCACCCTGCAAAATCCAAAAAACAATCATTAAAACATTCAAAGAAAAAGAAAAGGCTACAAATTGAATAATTTCAAATTTTAAATTACTTTCCCCAAAACCTTCAAAAAAAAACCCTCCCAAAAAATCATTTCAGCTACCTTCTGCAACATTAATCAATTATTTCCCAGTCTATATTAGTATTCAATAACTATAAATAAATTCCACTCATTTTAGATTACTTTCTGCAACATTAATCCATTATTTCCCAGTCTAGATTAGAATGCAATAACTATAAATAAATTCCACTTAATTACGCTAATTACTAGAACAAACATAAGCAATAACAACCATTGCAAAAAAAAAAAAATTGAACTTACTGAAATTAATCCTTTCAAATTTAAATTAGTAAACGAAAAGAGAAAAAGAACACAAGAAGCTGAGAAAAAGAAAGAAAGAAACCTCTAAGGCGTCCATGGAGGTATTGTTGCGGTGGCCGCGACAGAGAAGGAAGCGATAGAGTGACGGAGCGGTGAGAAAAAGACGGCGCCAATGAAGGTTTGTTTTTTTAGGGAAGGGCTTAGAAAGGGTTTAAGGGAAGCAGGTGTTGTGCTTCACTGCCTTTCTTTTCCAGTTTCGCAAAAAGCTAAAGAAGCGGCGTTAAAGAGGTATTTATTTGTTGGAGGCGACAACGGTAGTATTTGTTTTTCTTGTGGCCCGATTAGTCTGGTATTGGACGTGTTGATGGGCTTTCTTTAAATAATAGGGCTTCGGCTAGCTCTTTTAAAGAGTTTGAATTTGGAAAACAAAATAATATTTGCTAAAATTCTTGAAATCATATCGAATTATATACTCATTTTTGGACAGAGAAAACACTAAATATAAATAGAGTTGTTGCTAAAGTAGTTTATTTTTCTGATTTCTTTTTTGTGAAATTCGGAATTTTTCTTTTCTAGTTAAATTAAATTAAAATATGCATTTTAATTTTAATAGGTTTAACGAAAAATTCGTTAGTTTAATCAAATTAATTAATACCACTAATTAAATTCAACTATATTCTTATTTCTATCAGAATAATTTAAAAGGTAAATGCGTGTCAGTCAAAAAAGTTAAATGACTAATACATTCTAAATTTCAAAATTTTATTTTACTTTTTTTAAAATCAAAATTGAGGTTTAAGTTTAAAAACAAAAATTATATACTAGACAAAGTAATTCGATCATTCATAAAAGCAAAAAGCAAAGTATATAATCTGAACATACCAACAAAAAAGAAAACATATAATCCCTAAGAAGAATTTCTAAGAGAGAGAAAACTTAATCCATAATCATAGTCAATATTAGTTAATCGGTTCGCATATAGATTATCTTCACGAAACACAAAACAAATGCGAACTAACCATGCTCAATTTAATGATTCGTGAATCGATGTGTAAAATTATGAACAAGAATAGCATTACTTGCTATATTAAGCCCTACTGACGAGGACAACTGAATCCACTTAAATCTCCACGCTACGAAAGCCAAAATGCCAAGCTAAGTGATAACCATAATATGCGACCCTCGATCCACATTTGAGAAAAGAACAAATGCCAAGAGCGACGAACAAAACCATGAAGCCATCTTCCACTAATTAAACCTCTAACAGTTGTTTTACCAAGATTGTCACGAGTTAGAACCATCCGAATTTATTCTAAACTAGCTCTTTCTTGGCCTCTTCTAGCTCACCATGGACTCATACAAAGGAGAACCATGAGAGCTGGCGATTTTAGGGCTTTGCTAGCAACATTATCATGGACAAAGGAACTAATCACCTTGCTTGGAGAGCCTTCATCATTTATAAAAAAAAATTCTACCATTCCTCCATTTTCAAAAGCTTCCAAAAACAAGTCGCTAATGAGAAATTCCTTAACGACCAAAGTCGGTGTCAAAATTCTAAACAAACCAAACATCAAAGCTAGAACTAGCAAACAAATACCTTGATCATGGTGCATTAATGATTTCCAAATACTTGTAGCATACATATTGTTTTAAAAACCATGTGGCAAGTTTCCCTCCAAATAAGAACATTTTTTGCAATATGGAGAATCAACAAAATGCTTAGAAAAATCCCTCTTGTTAGTCATCAAACGGTCATGAACCAAAAACCATAAGTGAGTTTTAACTCACTAAGGACCCGATCACTTTCACATCTTATTCCAAAGTAAGTTTTTCAAGTAAATGATGATCAACTAATAAAGATAAAATCATTTAGTAGTAAACCTACCATTAGGATTCAAGTCTTATCATTATCTATCCTCTCCAAGCAATCGCATTAGGAGAAAAACGAGTAACATTTCATAAGTAATAAAAGGTCAAATAAGCTTTGTTACCACTTATTAGAAAGGATCAACGGAAAACAAGAAGAAAAACTAGTAGCTCTAACTACGCTAATCTATTATTCCAACTGCATAACTCAATAAATTATTTGCTAAATTCGAAACTCGGTAATCAATCCAAAATTTAGTTGTGTTTTCATTACCTAACACTTATTGAATACTTTGCAAGATACGAGAAAACACACCATAAATAGCATGCCACAAAAAAGAAGTATTTTGATTGGCAAGCATATCATGAATTAAAATAGTAGAGAAACATACTTAATTTTCCCTTGAAACTTAAACCCAAATCCGAGTTAGAATCATGAACTAAACTACATTCAAGTTTCACTAAAACAACTTCATTCATTAACTCGATTGTTTCAAATCCAAGCCTCTAGCTTGCTTCGTTGGCACACATTAGACCGGGTAACTAAGTGAATCTTACAATCATTATCCTTCTCACACCATAAAAAAACACTTACAAGTGTTTACTAAGACAACTTAGCGACCTACATAGCGTATAAAGACATTGAAAAAAGTGATATAAATAGAATAATTTCTAATAAATAATAATAAGTAAATTTAGGCGGTAAGCAAAAAAAATTAGAATTTGGTAACGAGGTTCACCCAAAAATGGCTACGTCCCTATGCACGAGCACTTTGCAAATCTCTTAAAATATTTCTAGGAAATGTATGGATACCACTTCTCGAACTAAGAGTTTCACATTCTCTCAAAACTCTCAATATTTTTAGGATACAAAAAGATAAGTTTTAAAAATAAGAGTCTCATACTCTCTCATAACTCTCTTGTGTTTTTCCGCATGAAATGAGCATTCTCTATTCTCTTTTCCTTTTTTTGAAAGGAGACAAGTGTTATGTTGTGTTTTCAATTCTACCAAACTCTTTTGAACTAAACCAAACCAAAATTAAAAGAAACTAAAAGACATGGGGCTTTTCAACAACAAATACAGTAATGCATGAAGTGAAAATGATTGTTAGACGGTTTTGTCTAAAAAGATGAATTAGGAAGAAATATCCGAAATAAAAATAATCATATGACAGTGCTTATCTAAACAATAAAGTAAGATAGGAAGCAATGTCTAAATGAAAATGATCCAGGGAACATAAACCCCTCATTATTTTTATAATTAAAAAGTTTAACATAATAACTTGGAGTCAGTTGGGGTAGAATTTTTGCTCTAATGTTAAAGAGCTTATTCGGGATTGTAAGCTTAATATTTTGATCATTATTTAGCCTCGTATCTCTCGATAACAAGCATCGAACACATCTAAAGCTATAGGTTTTGACGGTGTTATGAGAGTTGAATTGGATTTTTTTTTAGTGGCATTTGACGTATGTGGAATAGTGTGAATATGCAACTTCATGTTTTACTTGATCCATCATCGGTACATTTATTTTTTAGTTATTGATTCAAGTGGAAATTATTGCCTTATTGGTTTCTTACAGTTGTATATGTATGTCCTAGAGCTTCGAGGCGTGAGGTTTTGTGGGATGATATAAGGAAGCTCTTTCATATCAATACATTGCCACATGTATTAATTGGTTACTTCAATGACTATGCCAACCATTCGGAGAAGCAAGGTGGTCATTTTTGTCCGACTAAATTACGAAAGTTTCAAGATAATCTCGATTCTTACTACATGATGGACCTAGGATTTAAAGGCTCACCCTTTATATACTATAAAAAAAAATACACGGTGCCTTCTCTACTATGGTTCATCCGGATCGTGCGGTTTGCAATGTTGATTAACATCTTCTTTTTTCGAAGGCTTTTATTCATCATCTTGCTAGAATCAATTATGATCAACACTTGATATTTCTTTAGTGCTATGGTTTTATTCCTCTCGATTTTCCTCGGCCTTTCCAGTTTCGGGATAAGTGGACTACTCACTCAAATTTTGTTCGGTTAGTTAAGGACACGTAGGGCTAGTGTGAATGGCTCCCTTTCAAACTCTTTACGGGTTATGATTGCTGCCACTTACGGTGTTTGATCGATAAGTCTTTGGGAATATTTTTCATAAAAAAAAAAAAAGATAATTACTTACTAGACTTGTAGGTATTTGGTGCTCCCTAGTAACCCATCACTTTAGTTTCGTCACTAAACTTAAAGTTGATTTGCAAGAAAAGTATAATACTATTCTACAATAGGAGGAGATTTTTTGGTACCAAATATTTAGAGTTCGAGTGCCTCCAACAAGGGAACCGTTTCACTCATTTTTTCTATGTAATGACTATTGCTAAGAGAAAAAAGAAATCATATTGAGAGTCTTTGGTTAGACGATGGTACTTAGGTCTCTAAAGCCGAAGTCGCCAAAGATGAGGTACTTCATTTATTTCATAATTTATTTTGTACAATCGAGGATATTGTGTCTCATTTTTCATCATTTGAACACCATCCCTAGCTTAGTCAAGACCAATCGACATGTTTATTATGGCCGATCACTAAAGCTAAGATGTTTTCTACCAAAAAATCCATGAAGCCATACAAAGCCACAGGTCTAATTGGCTTCCAACCGATTTTCTATCGAAGTTCTAGAATGTTATAAGGGATTTAGCTTTTTCAAATGGTTCAAGAGGCCTTTAATTCAAAAACTTGACCTACCTAACTAACTCCTTGAAACCGGTATTATTTTGATTTCAAAAGAGCAATGCCTAATTAATATGAAGCTATTTAGACCCATTAGTCTATGCATCGGTTTATGTAATGTGAGCAATAAAATCCTCACTAAAGTTATTGTCTAAAGAATTCAACCCTTATTGGATCGACTCATAAGTCCTTTCTAGAGTGTCTTTATTTATGGTCGCATAAGTACTAATAATATTATGCCAACCTAAAAACTAATGTACTCCTTTAGGTGATCTAAGAAAAAGACGGGATCTCTTGCTTTGAAAATTGATTTTGCAAAGGCCTATGATAAGGTAGATTGGCATTTTCTTGAGCAAACTCTATTTGATTTTGGCTTCCAACGACATTATGTGGTCCTCATCATGTTCTTCGTTAAAAAATCTTCAATCTTTCAAGCTTCCTACCTTTGAGGGGACTTGGTCGAGGTGTCCTACTCTCGTCTTATTTTTATACTTTGTATGAAAAAATTA